ACAAACTAGTTTGTTTTAAAGTGGCAGGCGCAACCATCTGAGCCCACCATAACAAAGCAAGATAAATGGCACACCAGTTTACAATATAATGAACACTGATAAAACAAGCTTGGAAAGACCAGTATTCAGTTAAAAAAATGCAAAATAACTTCATATTTTATATATGTCAATGAGATGCAACTAAATAACATTTGGATAAGTTTCAAAATTCACAGGGGAGGTAGTATTGTGTTAATCCAAGCAGTTAGGGGGAAGCTTGCAACCTGCGTATAATGTTGAAAATAATATCTGATTTTTTTTTAATCCTGACAAAGGCGCACAAAGAATTCCCAACCAAGATTTAAAATTTTCTACACTGAAATAAAGCAGATGCACTTTTTGTGAGGGCTGGTGTGAACAAAAGCAGAGTTCTGAATCAAATCCCTTTGCCTTTAAGAACACTTATGCATGCAATATCTACCTTTTCTTTTGTCTGAAGAGAAGACTTAAGAAGACCAGTGGTCTCCCAACTTACTAAAAGAAGAAGGGTGTAGATTTTGTGGTGTCAGCAAAAGAGAAGCCTCAAAGAACAGTTGTTGCTTTGGTAAAAATAAGCCCCAAAGCTGATGTTAGTGGTCAGGGGCTCAGGCCCTTTGTTTTACAAATAGATGCATTTCAATTCCTGAAGGAAGGGTGCCACTCACAGATAATAGGGCTTAACAAGAGAGGAATGAACACTTACAGGGTGGGACATAGATACAGCCCCTACAGTCTGGAAACGTTTACTTTATTATATTCTTTTGGACCTCTTAATCCTCCAACTGGGAGTAAATATCAGTGCACAGCTCCAGGCAGTGCACGTTTGCTCAAAAATAAGCCCCATTCGATTCAGTGGGGCTTCCTCCCAAAAGAATGAGGCACAGGGTGGCAGCTCTGAGAGCACCCCACTGCAGAAAGTATATCCTGCTGCACAACTCCTAAATCTCACAATGGTGGGACTCCATCCAGAACACAAGAACTGTACCGAAGAAAGGAAAGTAACTATGGACTGGTTATTTCGTCAGCGGCTCTTCCCGCCCCCGCCCGCAAAAAAGCTGCAATCCATTAGGAATAGTTAAGGTGCCTCCGATCGCTTTATGGCCCGAAAATGTATCCCGCCCGTTGGAGAAGGCAGGTTGAAATGGTCGGGAAAAGATGTGCCAGTACAGGTGGTTCCACACCGCCCCCTCCCTGAAAGGCCGAGGGAAGCCCAGCCATTGTGGCAGAAGTAGAAGGAGCATCGTGATCAGCAACAGGGATACGAATCTTGCCGATGGGAAGGAAGCGCCAGAGAGAGGGACTCCGCGCCACAGACAAAAATGAAAAAGGCGGGCAAAAGGGGAGCAGGAGAAAGCCGCGCGACGCTTCTGCCACGCCGGGCACGATCCCCGAGGCTTCGAGGGGCTGAGCTGGGCACGAAGCCCCCTTTGTGCCAGAGAGGCGCAGGTCTGAAGAGAGGGAAGGGAAGGGAAGGGAGGGAGCCCGGGCACGGCTCGAGGCTCCGCTCCTCCATCTTCCAGCCAGCCTCCCGCCAGACCGACCCACACACAAGCCTGGAGCTGCCTCGGGTGGCCAGAGGCGGGCGGGGAAGCCGCCTTCTGCAGGCCAGGCGGAGGGGCTGGGCTGGGCAGGGCTCGGCTCTGCCCCCTCTCGCTGCTCCCGCTCACCTCCTCGATGGCCGCCACGGTGTTCCGGCACTGTACCATCCGGGTGGTGAAGTTGGAGGCGGTGGGCGACTTGTAATCCTCATTGGTCTCGGACACGAATTCCGACACGGAGATCTGGTCCGGCATGGCGGGGAGGGAGGGAAGGAAGGAAGGGAAGGAAGGAAGGGAAGACTGAGGAGAGCGGCGGGGCGGGCGGGCGGCTCCGGGAGAGGAGGGGACGGGGAAGAGGGATTGGAAAGCGAGCGAGCGAGAGGCAGGCGAGGGGGAGTCTCCCCGCCTTACATCGTTCAATAGCCCGCGGCTGCTGCAGGGCTTTCTCCTTGCAAGCCCAGCAGCTAGGAAGCGTTAAGGGGGGCTATTATTGTGACACACGCAGATACACACAGGCAGGCACCAACACACACGCACGGAAAT